TTGCTGCATGACACCGACCTTCAGCACCTGACAGCCCTGCTGCTGCTGCTTCCTCTGGCTCTTCTTCTGGGTGGTTGTACCCTGTGGTCTGCTCCTCCTCGGCCCTTCGCCTTGGCATGTTCCCGGAGCTGTCACGGGGAGTGATGTAGGGCTCGAGGAAGGACATGACCACAAGGTACTTCCACGTCTGGCCTTTCCCTGCTTCTGCTACACTCTTCTTCACCTTCTCCTTCTTCCTGCTCTCCTTAGCATATGTGTCCCTCAGATTCTTCCACCGCTTTTTGCAAACTTCCACTGAATAAACACATCAACTCGTAAGCAGGAAAGTAGTAGTTTTTTTCGCGGGGAAATATTTACAACATTGAAAAGTTAAAATAACTTACCCGAGACACCAACCACCTCGCTAACCCTCCTCCAAGCAAGCTCCTTTTTATTTCGGTCCCGGTAGCTGATGTCCGCAGTGTTATATAGCTCAGAAATAAAAATTATTTAATAGAAGTAATTAAGTACAAATAAGCTATAAATAAAAAAAGTTACAAAGGTGAGCTGAATAATTACACTTCCAAAAGGACAAATATGAAGGAAAAACGGCAAATATAGCTAGCAGCTAACAATCGTCCTTTTTGCACAGTATTTCGTCAGTGCCTTAGTCCTGGGGGAGCTGTGTACTTTAAAACGGGCCAATTTGGAATCCGACTTTTTGCGTTGGAAAGACAAAACTTTGCCAATGCCTGAATTTACTAAACAAACTTTGCGTTCCTCATGGCTGGCAGCACACTTGCCTTGTTACTTTTACACTTTTCTAACATTTAAAAAAAACTTTGTGTTTCTTCTCTCTGGGTGTTACCCCACCTTCTCCGCGCTCGGCACCATCCCAATTCACCCGATCAACACTTTTTTTTCCATTTTGTCGTTTGCCGCATGTTTACGAAGCCCTTCCCTGTATCACCGCTCGCAAAGCCTGCTACTCCAGGCTTTAGTGACGGCGAAATCAAAGCCACCGACGTCCTCCTTTGAAACTTCCGCCTCGAATTAGCAATAAATATTTCAAGTGGCATCGGTATCACAAGTGGCAGAGGAGGCCGGTAGCATGCAGCTGTTCCCACCCGCACCCCTCCCCTTTCCCGACCCGTAACTTGGACCCCCCCCCTTTACGAACCCCTTTGCGCTCTTGTAGCCGGCTGGTTTTGAAGCTCAATTGTGCATTTTGCTGATAAAGTCGCGAAAATACTAGCGGCGTCGTTGCCTGGGTAACGCTGGTAAGGGCCGCTTCTCCATAACTGCTTAATTTAGGGGAGCTAATTGCATTCCACACAGTCACGGAAAAAGGGGGAAAAAAAGAAGCAAAAAAAAAAACTTGGTGGGGTGTGTTGGGAGGGTTAAAGAAGCTCTGGCCTTGAAAGGAGCTCAGAGAATGATATGACTGAAAGACTGAGAAAAATTTGCTTGATGATTTCATGAAAGTGTTTGGAATAGTGCATTTTATTGAGATTTTGAAAGTTTGATCATGTTTTTAATTAACCGAACCTTTTGTAATGTCAGAGAATTCCTCAGATGAGACTGAAAATGGTTTGAAAGATGTGTGTTTTTGACAATCGCAACAGTCGCTAAAATTTAAAGTTTAAATGGTAGGCATGCATGGCTATTTTTCAGATGGCATTGTCGTTGATGATGATGATGATGATTATGATGCATCGAGTTTATATAGAGCTTTTCTGGACACTAAAAGACACTTCACACGCCATTATTCTTTCACTCCATACACTGTGGGGATTAGCCGCTAGTGTAGCCGCAGCTGCCCCGGAGAACATGGACATTGTTGTTGTAATTACCTTCTGGATTTCTCTTTTGGGGAACGTTTGTACAGATTTGAGGCAGATCGCTACGTACCTTTTGCATCTATTTACCCAACGTGTTATTGTTTGAGAAAGTTCTCCGTTAGCATGCTAGTTAATGCTCTCTGGTCAACAAAAATATGACATGGATACTGTGGATACTTTGTTTCAAAATAACTTCTGTTTTTTACTCAAATTAATATTTAAATGAGATGCAAATGATTTTGACAGTGTTATGATATCTTTCCTCATCAAAAACAGACCTGAAGTTGTTTTTTGATCCATCCACACTGATATCACGTATAGGCTCGATCGTGTAACTTCCTTTTGTCTAAAACCTCCTGTTTCAGTCTCGCAATAGAAAGTCATTGTACCACCATGACATAGTTTTACGTAATTTTTCAAGTGAAATTACTCAAATTTGAAACAATCCCATGGCACATCAGCAGCTGCTAATGATACAACCATGAAAGGAAAGCAAACTCATGAGCGTAAACTCCTTCTCATCAGCATGTGGCATATAGAAAATCAAATAAAAGTCTCTCTAATCTCATTAGACATTATTTCAACCAATAGGTGATATTCAATTATTTCCAAAGACACACCAAACAACATCTCAGGGCACACTAACATTCCATGGTACAGTGCTTGAAAAACACTGAATTAAATGTCCCACACATTTATTAACATTTAGAGACAGTGGTCGTCCAGCTCCCTATGGACAAATGGCTCCTTGTTATTAATTCTGTGTTGGTGAATCGACAGCTATGTAAAGTCCTACGAGACGGCCGCTGTTGTGATTTAGGTCTATACAAAAAACAAGTTCAATATAAAATAACTATTCCCACAATCACAGGACACCACTGCTAACTTGACTTGATGTACGACAACAAAGAAGCCGCGACAATCGAGAAACAGCATTCCACCTTCGTACGCATTTGCCGTACATTGTCTGGAGCTGTATCGCATTGATGTCACAACATAAATGGACGGTATGCGAGTTGTAATCCGCACTCTTCTCTCCTTGTCTGCTCCATTCTTCTCCTGGGCTTTGAACCTCCCAAGAGAGTCCTGTCCTGCCGAGAAAGCCGGCCCGGGACGCCTTTCAAAGTCCGGGGTGTAGGAATGATTGGTAACTGTTGAAGAGTGTTGAGGTTGCTGACCCCGAAGCCACTAGACCCTACTCGCGACCAATTATCCGGCGGGCTATTGGGACGCGCAACAGGCAACCACTTAGAAGACTAGTTTGTCATACCACTTTTTACAATGGGCTCTGCAGCTGAAAGAGTCCGGTGAGGATTGAAAGTGGGAGTGAGTGTAGTTCCTTGCTGTGAGTAAAAAATTGCAGGTGATGATCCAGGACACTCGACGTTCAGCGACATTTATGAACTTTGTCAACGTTTATGGACATTAGTCATCTGCCTCTTATGGATCAATGGTTCTATGTGTTTTTTAACATGGCATTTCTTGTGTTTGAACTGTTTGATTCTTAGTTCTGTTGGTGAATCTGCAGTTTTGTGAAGTCCTCTGTGTGTGCAAAAATAAATTGAATTGAAAATGAAGGCAATTTGTCTAAAAATAGGGGGAAAAAAAGAGTTCCAAGAGCTGCCAGTAGCTATAGTTTAAATGTTCACCCAAATGTAAGTTTATACATTCCTCATTTGCGTCCATGTACCTAGGTTGTCGAAAGACTCAAATATCGATCCAAAAAAACAAATTGGATGCTCATTTGGTCAAGTTTTGCTGAGACACCTGAGATACGTTTCAGGATTCATGTTTTACTGTATTTCGAAACTTTTGTGGAACTTTGGGAAACGCTATTCGGTTTTGAGTACGATAAAAAAGTGTTGAAAGAATTGCTGCTTTTTGTCCAAAGGATCGTATATTTGTAGTGAATGAAAAAAATATATGTATGTTTTTTGAACATTGTTGTAGTGTTTGAAACTATGAAGTATCTGTGTATGTAAAACAGTAATATTTCTTCGTTCTCTTATTTTTATTCTTATTATCACAAACCGCATGTCTATTAGTCTCAGCATTTTTGCACGAGATTACAGCTCATGAAGGAGAGGTGGGCGTCCATACGTTTTCTTGCTTCAGCCAACTCCTCCTGAGCTTGTACCAAATGTTCTAACTTGTAAAAATGTCCCAACACAAAAATGCATTCTTGTGTTGGGACATTATTGCTCAAATAAATTCATCAAACACTGAAGTACTGGGATTTTTTTTTTTATTGAAATGTATTGTATAAAAACATAAAGAGATACTAAGGGACTTAAATAAACCATTTTTGTATCTGGGCCTCATTTATATCACCTAACATGGCATTCTAATTCTTGTATTTCTGGATTTGACAAGATGTCTCTCCATAGATCACAAAGATAACTTAGAAACTTGTGCAGATATGTGTAATTGTTTTGTGAATAATTTTCTGACCGAGGACCTCAACCAATCCAGGCAGGATGGAAAGACGATCCTGGGTTCTATTCCATCTCCAGACAGTGCCTTTCTGTGTGGAGTTTCAATGTTCTTTCTGTGGATGCGAAGGTTTCCTCCAGGTGCTCCGGTTTCCCATACCACTAACAAAATTTACAATAGTTCCCCTTAACATCTCTGTTGGACTTTCATTCTTAAATACAGGTCAATAAGCGGTGTGTATTCTAGAGGGATGACCTTTCTCCGGATGATTTCAGATGTCTTTATCAATAAAAATAAATAAATATTCATGTTCTCCATATGGGATTGAAAAAAAAACTTCAGTTCTGATATTTACAACAACAATTATAGAAGCATGCGCCAACTGTGTGTAACAATTTCTTTGGTATTCTGTTTATGTTGTATTTTTCTGTGCTATAAACCAATAATAATCATAATATCAATAATAAATGTCTGGATGTCTTAAACTCTTCCCCATAAGAGATAGTTGTAGGAAAAAAATCAATCTTGGCCACTCTAGCAGAGACTAGCCATATACTAATATACTAGAATTGGTGTATGTTTGATTTAAGTACCACCAGCAGAAAACTGCAAGTGTTCGTCTTCGATCTGGAATTTTCAACAATTTCTTACAATCGTGATTCTGAATTCATTCAAAGTCCGAACGTCCCAACGATCTCTGGTGCAGTTTGAACTTTTAATCGCATTTGTCCATCTCACTTGTTTTATATGGAGCGTATTTGTGAGGGAGCGCTGACCCTTCGCCTCGCCGGCCCGACCTGTCCTTTGTGCTCCCTCACCCGGCCCCCCCGCCTCCGGGCTCAAACGTCCCGTCACAGAAAAGAACTGGGGGCCCTCGCCTTTCATGACACCACTGCCATTTTTCTCCCCCGCTCAACCTCCACCACCACGTCTCTTCACGCCCTCCCCGTCCCTTCTCTCCGTTTCGGGCTGGGCAGCATCGTGCTTTGGGGAAAGGGGGGGGTGGAGCATTTATATCGTTGCCTGGGAATGAAGACCCCGTGGCCCCCTTTGTGCGCACAGAGGGCGGGGCACATTTGGGGTGCTGGGGTTGGCCTTTGTTCCAGCCGGAGTGGTGGGCTTCAGTTCCCACAAGAATCCCCCTTGCAGCCCACCCCAAAAAGCACCCCGTGACAGCGATGAGGTAATGTTTATAAAGCCTTACGTATTCACACTTCATATCCAATTGAAATAAAATGAGATATTCAAGATTCAATAATTTATTTGCAATTTGCAGAAAAACCAACGTGCACCAGCCAGAGAAGATAGAACACACTCCTGCCACCCCGTCATCAAACACAGATACAGGAAAATCAGTATTACAGAAAAAAAAGTATCAAATCAGCAAAGATCCAAGTACCGAAGTCGGGAAGCTGCTTTTAATCAGAGATTCCAAGTTGTACGACTGCATGGTACCACCATTAGGAGCAATTTTGCTTTTACTAAACTTCTTGTCATTTACGCTTTGTAATAGTCTGTTCATTGCTATTCACCTGCTATTTGCTACACACAAATGAATTGAATTAAATGTTGTACTTTCACTTTACAGAAGCAGACCTAAACAATGGAACTTCACGATGGAGAAGCTGGGGTTTATCACCACAGATGATCTCAAATGTAAAATCAACAAAAACATGTTTTAAAAGAACCCAAAAACTTCATATTTATCCAAGTTTGAGATAGAAATCCGGTGTCAGTTAGTTACAAGACCTCTCCATCTTTGCCTCTGGACATTGTGGACTTGTCTGCACATTTCGTCAGACTGTCCGGACTTGGTCAGCTGCACTAAGTTCTGTTTTGCAGCCAACACTTACATTATCGCTTGACTTTTGGAGTAAAGGGGGGTGCTGTGGTCAGTGGTTCAGTTCATTATGGAGCACCGAAAATGGCAAGATTGTTGTGGAGAAACCGTCATTCCACTGCTGAAGAACTTGGAGAGATCTCAAAACTTTGCCATAAAGTGCTAAATTAGATGACAGCCTATATTCAGGGCCAACATAATAAATTATAAATAATAATGAATAAGATAATAATAACAACAGATCTGAAAATGTGAAAGGGACTGTATTTAAGATTCTGATTTTAAAGAACATCTATATGTCTAGCGGGAGCAAGTTATACTAGCAGCTGTATGATGTTGGAGTGGTCAGTCTTGAAAGACCAGAGTGAGAGTCCAGAGAGAGAGCAGAGAGAGACCATAGAGAGTGACCAAACAACAAAGAGAGTGCAAAGAGAGATTTGTGAGAGACCAGACAACAGAGAGAGTACAGAGAGACCAGAGAGCAAAGTGAGAGAGACCAGAGAGAGAGCAGACAACAAAGAAAGAGAGAACTGAGATACCAGACAACAGAGAGAGTACAGAGAGACCAGAGAGAGAGCAGACAACAAAGAAAGAGAGAGAACAGAGGGACCAGACAACAGAGAAAGAGAGCAGAGAGAGAGAACAGAGGAACAGACAACAGTGACAGATCAGAGAGAGACCAGTGGGGGAAATAAAGGTAAATGTCATGTTATACTAGCAGATATATGATGTTGTGTATGATTGAGTATACAAGAGACAAAACTCTGAAAGATCAGAGATACCAGAAAGAGACCAGAGAGACACCAGGTATGTGTTACTAGCTAGTATCGTCAGCGTAATTGTGAAAGGGGACGTTATTACTGTGTATTAAGTGTTGTGATTCCTCCCTGCTGCTCCCCCTCCCCCCTCCTGTTGGGTTCCTCATCACACTCACCTGCAGAGCTCCACACCTGATCATCATTCCAACAATCACCAGATACAGCATAAAAACCAACCTGACCTTGTCTCCAGTGCCAGAAAGTTCCGTCACACCAGTGTACCCAGCTGTGGAGCCTGGACCTTCATTCTCAGTCCCGTCCTGGTCCCGTCATTGGTCAGTCTTACTTCCTCGCCGTCGTCCTCTGTCCTGGTCCCGTCTTGGTCCCGTCTTGGTCCCGTCTTGGTCCCGTCTTGGTCCCGTCTTGGTCCCGTCTTGGTCCCGTCTTGGTCCCGTCTTGGTCCCGTCTTGCCCTGGTCCCGTCCTGTATCTTTTAAACCAGGCTCTTCCTAATTTTGATTTTTGTTAATAAATCTTGTCAACTCTGCATTTTGGGTCCACCAGTTCTTACATTTAACAAAGAGTCCCCAGGATTGATCCCTGTGGTATGAGATGCAGTTCCCAATCTCCACAAAATACTTTCTGTCTTGTAAATAGGACCTAGACCGACTTAGGACATGTTAGGGAAGTGCTCATGGACGAAGTTTTGGTCCAACTCACTCTGGCGTCTATTGAAAAGTATAAACTGCTCTGGCTCAGTAACTGTTTGTGTCACAATCACCCTTTTGGGCTTGAACAAATCTGTGGTTTAGTGTTCTCTGTGATCCTGGTCTTAATATTTTGAAAGTGTCTTGTGGAAAACGAGAGGTGAACAAGAACTAAACATATTTGGAAAAAAAGTAGTTCATCTAGTAATATTACATGTTGAAATTTGTATTATGAGTTGCAACACTGGGTTATTAGAAAAAGGTACAATACTAGAGAAGTTACTGTGATTAGTTTCTTCCAACTCTGAAACTGGCTTAATCGTGTTTTAAGTTTTGGTTTTAACATCTCCAGAGCTGTTCTTTGTTCGACGCCAACAGTTTTTCATTTCCTACATAGAACAGATTTTTGGTTTGGTGGGAAAAAAAATGGGTGAAATCTCTTGGCAATCATGAAAGTAGTACTTCAAAATTTGGTAAAGTGTTTATCTCGCGACTTGAAGAAAAACCGCCAAACTTCCCCAAAAAGTAGGTTACAAATTTTCCTCTCCAGAAATCCATGTTCAGAAAAAAAAGTTAAGAATGAAATCTAATCAGGTCAAGATATTTTTTTACATTGAAATTTTCAAAGTTCTGCATGCGGTTCATGAAAGTTCATAAAATGTTGAATATTGGGGAAAAGTTGACTTAAAAATGACTGTGTAATGATTTATTTGCTTTTCTAACAATATTCTAACCTTTTATGTTTGTCTATAATGTCTATATGAATAAGACCCCTTCCCTTTCTTAGTCCATCAAGCCAAAGTAGCCATTATATTGTAAACAAAATGTCCTAAGCAAGCCGTTCAACTATGACACCTGGCAGTCCCCATCTCCCATCCCAGTACTAACCAGGCCCAGCCTTGCTTAGTTTCAGAAGATTGACAGGATCTGGCTTTCATATGCAGGTGATACCACAAGCATGACAAAGATCCCAGACACACATCTCAGGCAGTGGCTCGGCAAGAAGTGACATCACCCCCGATAGAAGATCTGTGGAGGGAGTCGAGTGTTGGAGATGGTGGATTGTACATGTGTTTAGAGGTAGGGGAAACTGGAGCACCTGGAGGTAACCTTTGCTAAATCTACTCAGAAAGACCCTGCTATGACAACAATTTGAATGCAAGCCTTTCTTAAGAAGCGAGAGTGATGCATCATTTCTTCATTTTGGTGCCATATCATAATATAAACATGTATGTAATGTATATGAAAAGGCCTTTTTTTATTTTTTACATTACAATGGCTGTTTTGGTTTAACGGAGGGAAGTCATCTTATTCAAATAGACATTATAGACAAATGAAAAGTTAGAATATTCTGTTCTTGAGTTGCATTAACACTAAGACTTCCAGAACTCTTGGAGTGTGTTTCTGTTCTCAGAGGGATTTTCATTTTGTTTTAGTTAACCTTTATTTAACCAAGAATAATTCCATTGCGATTAAAAACCTCTTTTTCGAGGAAGTCCTGCCCAAAAAGCAGCAAAGTCAAACATTAACACAACAGATAAAATTGCAGGTACACACATCAAGTAAAAACATTACATTACAATTATTGAATGAATTAACAGCTTTAAAAAATAAAAAATAAACGTCTTTGTTACAATTGAAAACATATCTTTTGTATCAAATATTTTGAGTGAATATTAGGAGTGACTTTGTTTTGATGTACCAAACAAAGCTTCCCCTTTATTGATCCATTTCTGGGTCGGGGGGTGGCCTCATAGCACCAGTCCCTCGCTGATCCTCCTGCAGGTGGTGAGTCCATGGGATGATGGCTTCTCCGTCATTGAAGACCTTGGCCTTGGTCGTTCAGTGGGGGCTTCAGGCAATGTGGGGTTAAGTGTCTTGCACAGGGACACACCGACAGCACACATCAGTGGGAGCAGATAACATGGGTTTCGGTGCAGATCGAACCCACGACCATTAGGTCCAAAGACCAGTGTGTACCAAACATATAAAGCCTAAAACCTTGTTAAACTGTTGTTGAACAGGATAGGCTCAAATAAGGATTTCTTCAGCCTATTCCAGTTTTTGGTTGTAAGTCACTATATTATATCCTAAGTTTGAATGTTTTGTTGATGTGATGCCCAAAATCAATCAATCAATCAATCAGTTCCAGTGTTTAACAATGTGTGCGCCCCATGGAACAACATGCAAACATTTCGCCAATAAAATCACGTCTTAAACTGTATTCAATAATAACAGCGGCAACTCTTTCCTCCATTAATAGAACAGGCCAATAATAAAACCTCCAGAGTCTAATACTGCTCCCACCAGCACAGTCACATACAAGACAATTGCAGGCCTCTCTTAATCACGTCTTTTTATGATAAGGATGTTACCGTCTGCGGAGGTGAAGTTACATTCTAATAAAGCCCGCCGCTCGTAATGCAATCTCAGAGAGCGCCGTAATTGCCGACTCTTTAGGGCAGTGTGTAATTCAATCAGCGGGTCGCTCCTTACTGTACGCTGACTGAAAGGTCTGTTATCGCGCTGCCGGAATGAATAGGGCAGGCCAGCGCGGGTAATTAGACAAAAAAAGAAGCAGATATGGCCGTCTGGGTTGTATTCATCCCGAGGACTGAATAGTGTGTGTGTGTGTGTGTGTGTGTGTGTGTGTCTGTGTGGCATTTAAACTTAGGCTATATCCACACGAAGACAAAACGCTTATAATTTCAGAAACTTTTTCTGTAAACACGGAGTTAGCTCAGTAAATGTGTGCGTCCATATGAATGTAGTCAATACGCCTGAAAACGCTGTGAAACTATGCCAGACCTGTTGGTGGCGCTGTGACGCAATGACGGGATCAAGCCCAAACTTCCGTGGGCATGCGCGG